CTTATTAACATAATAAAAATACATTTTTTACTTCACGACTATTATCGGATACTTCATTTGGTATAAAAAATCACGAGAAATTTGTCTAATATTTTTGTTCCGCTACTTCATTATGGGAGCAAAACGTGCGATTTTGATTTTAAATATTTTCAAAACGTTTATAATGTACTCGACAGATATTTAAAAAATACTTGTATTAAAATGAAACGAAATGTTTTGTATATCTGGTAGAAAAGCATTATGAAAACACATGGAGGTAATATTATATAAATATTATACGGATAATATTCTACAGTAAACGTTTTGGAAATATTTCAAATGTCTGATAAATATTTACAAATTGTACGACATTCATTAAATATATAGAAAATATAGGACAAATATTTTGTGCTACTAGGGTATGTACTTATTTAAGGTAAGAATAATATACCGCAATGGAAAGATATGAAAGGCACAATAAGGACATTTGTTGCACGTATAAAATATATGTCATACATGTACAATGGAATTTTTTATAACAGATAACCGCAGTGACGTGAATACATATAAAACAATGTCGTCTTTTCAATCCGTTTACAGTGACAAACATTTTTTTTAGACTGTGCCGCAAATACTAAAGTATCTAAAAGCCGTTTATGCAATTAATTAAAGAGCTAATATTTACAAGGGAGAATTTGTTAATACTCTATACGCAGTGGCATCCCTGTACACGGATAAGTACACAAATTACATAACAATAACGATAAGTTACAATAATTACCGAGGAAACTATTCTGACTGGTCGACTTTTTATTTCGAGATGATCTTGCCACCTCTGAAACAAAATCGGAAGAAAAAAAATTACATAAAAACCAGCATTTTCAACAATATCGCCATTGTAGAAATACACACTTTTTACAGACACGCTTACATTTATAACAATTTGGACGCTGGTTGATAAACTCTTTAACAAACTATTAACGTTCTCTAGTCCTTAAATACATAAGTGGAAGAATACTTTTTCTCCGTGTGAAAAATATCGACAACGATTTTTTTTTACAATGCACTTCTGATAACGATATATAAAATTCTACTATATTATGGCATGATTTTTGTTTTAATCATATGCTTATTAATACGTTTCTCTCGTCAGATATAAAACATTAAATAAAATGTTAGAAGTTGTTAGTGGCAATATCCGTTCGATTTTATAATACAATTTTTTTATTGTAATATAGCTATAGGTAAACCTTATATATGAATACTTTTTTTGTACAATTGTTTTTCATTTCTTCACTTATCACTTCTTAGTTACTATGAAAATATTTATAAATTCAGAAGTTATTGTAAAAAAGAGAAGATGAACGATAATTATTCATAACCGGCATATTTTGCTATAGTATCACTACTGGCAAGTTTTATATTTAAAACATTTTATAATTAGTTTTAATCATAAAATGCTTCATTACTTTGTTTTTAAAATATTTTAACGATGTAATCCTTTTGTTGAAAACGAACAGTTCGTTAGTGCTTTTATTAACAGTGAATATTAGATTGGCAGAAAGGGAATATGTTTTTTTGTAATTAACAATGTTACGTTGCCAGTAAAGATATTTCTTAATAACAATGTAGACTGTATTGCAATATTGTAATAGATAACTTCTTTTCTTAACTTTTAACAGCTCTACGACCGGTAACTTTTACTTTCCGATCCGTTTATAATTATTTATAAATTTTATAGAAAAAGAGATGAGAGGGTTAATTATTAGTTCTGTTAATTATAAATACCAGAGTGGTACAAAAGAAATACCTTTTATTTCTTAAGATAAAGTACCAGTGACATTGTTAATAATGTTGCATGAAACGGTGCTATAATGTTGACAATAAAAAAAAACAATTTTCAGGGAGTTTGCAAAATTTCCGTCGATGATTTCCGAAAAGTTATTTAAAAAGTAATAGACTAGTAGCACCATTATTTACACATGCCATTCTGGTATGGAGTAATTATTTATCATTGTTGTTATTAAATTACAAACCGTAAGAATAAAAGTTACCAATACTGACGCTCGTTAAAATGATGTACAGAAATCAATACAAGCAATAACTTTTTCTATGTGGTAAGTTTTAACGTTGTACCCTAATTTTGTTGAAATTATAAATTTTTTCCAGCTCGGCGTGACATACCATTAAATAAATACTTCGAGTAACAACATAACAATATAAAAACTTTACCGACCATATCGGTAATGAAGTACAAAGTGGCAATGCAATATCATAATCGGTAACTTCAGCTTTCGGTAATTACATTTTGTCAATAACAACCTCGACAAATTATTTCACATTTATTCGCGCGTCATTTTATCTATTAATAAATATCGATACGGTATCACTAGGAATGCCAAATGTTACCGACAATAATACTTAATGTTAATGCTAAATGGAATGACGCTTTCAAAGTTGCTTAAAAGTACGAGCACCTTGACAAATAAAATCCTCTACTTGAGAAAATTTCGAATTAACGTATTTCGAGGAAAAAGGGGCTTTTTTTACCGATTTCTTTACATTTTTACTATTTTCCCCTTTTAAAAATTCCGAGACATGGATCAATAACAGCAAAATATATATAATATTTGTTTTATTAAACTTCAATAGTTCGTATCTTCGATTTCATTAATTGTAAGAGAAATTAAACTCTTTGTTATATTTATATTTCATAATTTGAAAATAATATATTCTCCACATTTCGGCACAATAATATCATAAATTGATGGAGAAGGTCTTTAATACTGATATTATTATTATTGTCATATTAGTCTAATTAAATTTTGCTTATAAATCGATCAAGCCCCTTTTTCTCCGCAGATCCCGTTTTCCTCTGTAGATTGATAGGAACAATAGCTCTCATAAATTATTCTGACAAAACGGTTCGCAAATAAAATATTCATTTTTAATTTTACAGTACTCTGGATCAATATTTCATTCTACAACGTATCAATTTTGCAATGTACTCGAGTTAAAAATGGAGTTCGGACTTGATTTAGAATTTTTCAAAACCACAAAGTGTTATAAGGAGATACAACGTCATGTATTGAAATTGTCCCCACTTTAGGGGTCTAAGATCTTCAAATATTTTCTAATCTATGGCCGAGAGCGCCACCTCGATGAAATTTTGCAATTAACCAGTTAATTGCGTTCAACGGATACACATCGGTAATCCGTAACGTTACAGTAAATTCCGCAGTTAACAGGTTAAAAATTATCATTTGTTAGTAGTTAACCTCTATCGCGTTAAAAACATTACATTCTTTATATTATACGCGGATTATAGGTTCGCTTTGCGTACCTTAATTACAAAATTAAAAGCATTCTACGTAATTTACGTCGGTAGGAAATGTTTTGGTCAGGTAGGATGGGAGTTCCCTCAATTTCCGCAAGTAGCGCTCGCATCGTTAGATCAGGAAAAATCTGAGATGCAGGGAGTCGATTACATAAAGCAAATTGAGCAAAAATCTGAAAAGTGAGTAGCTCACGGTATTACGGAACATTTTGGTGGTGAAAATGCGAGACCATTCATATGAACTGAGCCGGCACAAATTTTTAAGCGAAATGGGGAAGCATACAAGAAAAGATATAAAAATAAGCACCGGAACGCCATCTTCCACGGATTGTGACACCGAAATTCAAAATGGAAAACCTCCTGGGTGTTTTGATTTTTGGCAACACTCGTATTCGGGGACATAATAATAACCTTATTAGAAGAAGAAAGGAATTACGTGATGCCTCAAACCCATTTTCGTTAGAAGAAAGACAATTGACTAGTATGTACAGGTTAGTTTTTGTTATTGCGAGGTTATATTACATTATTAAACATTGAAAACTGTTAAATAATTCATGCTTACATGGCATGATAAGAAAATTATATTGTTGAAGTTCTACCTATGGTACATGTAAATATGAATGTAATACATATTTAAAAAATATAGATAGACTCGAGTCCTCTTCTTTACTTTTAACAGTTTTCCATCTTTCCGCCTTGCCTACCTATAAACCATTTCCTCTCAACAATTTTTGATTTACAAGGTACGTACCTTTATTTGGGCAATATTACTATACCGGAATTGTTAGTGATCTCGTTCTTTCATATAGAGAATAAACCCATGTGAGATGAAAATGCGAAAAGTGAGCGCTCTCGTCAAAAATACGTAATAAACGCCCTCAGTCCCGATTCTGGGGTTACTTTCTGTGGAACCGACCATTTGCGTTATGTCTCCTTATACTACTTCATGTTCGGAACCATTTCGTCAGAAGAAAGATGAAACCTCTCGCGGCTTCTCTTCCGTACTACTCTCTAAATTGGAAACGAATAGGAAGACAGCTAACGAGGTGATCCCCGAGACCGTCTCCAACTGCACAGTTCCACTTTTGTATCACTAGTTCCATTTCCCAGCACCAATGGAGTAGAGGGCTCTACTTCATAATTCGTCTGTTCTCCACATTGCTTATAGATGGCATGCCTCACGACCAGCAAGGCCATAATTTAATTTACATATAGATGAAACAATAGTGGCACTATACTTCTATGAGTATAGAACTTAGAGAGGGAAATGGATATCATAAATCGCTACATCCATAACAATAATGGAAACAATAGTGGAACCAGCAACAACCCTCGGAGGTGCATCACTACCCAGAGAACAATCCTGGATCCCATGAACATTCTACGAATGTTCAGGTAGAATATTTTGTTGTTCCCAGAATATGATGCAAATATTTAAGTATTTAAGATATCCAATGAATATTCACGAAGCACAGAATTTTTTAGAATATTTAAAGCATGTTCTGGCTTATGAATGTATATACAGAATATTCACTAGATATTCCAAATATCCAGAGTAAATAAAAAGATTTAAAGAATATTCATAGGTACAATGGTGTTATCTGAGTAGCGACCCCTCCGGTGATTCTCGTAACTACCTCTAGAAACGACAAGCTACTTTCCAAAGTAACTCGGCATTTCTCGAAGATCGCACCACGGAACTAAGATAAGTTCTTCCCCTTATTTCTTCGAATATCAAAGCTAACTGCTGGTATTGCAGATCCGGGGAGATCCCACTTCTCGGGAGGAATGTCCTCCAACATCGCTCGGAGACTAACATCTGCCGTTGGTGCAGATTTGGAGGTTACGTTTAGGCGGGTGGAATGTCCTTTATCTGTTTCAGATACCCCCGCTCTTTCAGCAGATCGTCCAATGCATCCTGGGTGTAGTAGACGATGAAATCCGTTGGGGCTACTCCTTCGAAAACGGCGCACACGGACGGCTTCACGTTGTAGAAGAAGAGGGGCTGCCCTCTGGCGGCGAAGTCCTTAGTCAACGACTCGATGACGGTCGCCGCCGTGAAGTCGGCACCGTAGATGTGCGAGCAGTCGATAACCACGGGGGTAGCCACGCTGCCGGCCCTTCTGCTGTATTTCGTGACCAGGTTCCTCACGTAATCCACCGAGGGGAAGATCAGGCACCGATCGGGCGTCAGCATCAGGTACTCGATTCCCCTTCGGGTCTGTGAAATTAAATAAAATCGATTTTATATGCTGTAATTAACTGTTTAAGGTGAAGTGAAACCCCCTCCAAATCAGTCGATTCGAATACAACACTTATTCTTAAGGGTATTAGACCAAACTGTCCGGAACATTGACACATCACTCCTTTTTGGAAAAAATTTGTTAACTTAACTCAGACCAACAAGCAAAATGGCGACGAGCTCTCATATTTCGATCAATACACAATTATCGAAGGCTCTGATATGAGAATCGAAAGGGTCAGGACAATTTTACGACAATTTAGAACACTCTGGTAATCGATAAACTCGCATTTGCACAGGATAAAGGCAAGAAAAAGTGTCGTATGCGCTTCTGTGCCAAAACGATGGTAATACGAGGTCTCGGAGTGAAGATTTAATTGTCCTGGAAATCACAGATGGCGCAGGGGTCCCTCTGCAGTCAATTTGGGCCCCAGAAAGCATGAATCCAGAGGATTTGTGGAGTTTTACTTCGATTTCTTTATAATTATTGTACGAAAACAACAGGTGGAGTATGCCATTTGGTACAATACCCAATATAATTCGACTCAGCTGTCAATATAAAAACGAACGTCGGCAGCGTAGGGGCATTTAGAAAAATTTTCTTTATCGACGTCGATCAAGTTCTTCGACGTGTTTTACTTCACCTTAAGGTGATATGAAAGAGTCAGCCTATATATGTCTGAGAAGTCCAATCGTTGATGACTGTATTATCTTTTATCAGGTTAAATATGGGAATAAAACGTGAAAGTCTTTTCTTCGATTCCATGTTAGAACCGCCATTTTACTTTTTTTTTTGTTATCAGAAGGTATGAATAACGCGTAGAATAAAAACGATTTTCGTCGTTCAGAGGCCGAATACTTCTTTCATTGTATACCTTTAATATTAACACTCACCGTGAGTTTTTCCACAGAAATCTTTGGTCTGGCTGCATGATATAATATGAAGAGGACATTTAACCCAACTCCGCAAAGAATGCCAACTTCTAATTGCAGGACAAGGCAGGCGATAAAAGTTCCTAGGCCCGGTATTAAGTCCGACTCTGTGAATTAAAAAAAATTAAATATTAATTTAGTATTACCATGAATTAAATTATCTTTTTAATTTATAACATGTACTGCAGGAATGCAAATGAGATCACTGTTCACACGGAACGGTAGGTATGTACACTGTACGTATAATAGATGTACATGGAATATCCATACATCTATAGGAAATCTATATCATTCATATACACTAGCTACACTGAAGATAGATATCTATTTTACGTATACAAATCTATCTTACGTATACGCACTCATTATATATTCTCTAGATAATCGCAGATATCTAGGTTTGGTATATAGATATATATAGAGGTTTATAAGATATCTATGAATAGGGAAAACACGTATATAATGCGTATATGATTTCCGAGACATTATATAGAGAGAATCAGTTCCGACTCCTTTCTGCGCAAGCGTGGCGCGCGTCCTCTTGGCGGGAATTTTTAAAACATATAAACGGTATTTTTATACAATATCTTATCAACACACGTTATCACTATAATTCCAGCCTGGCTGTTATAGAAATAATTATTCCTCAATTTATGAATGCAAATTCTAATTCTTGTACTTCTGGAATTTCAAGCATTATTGTTTATTGCCTAAATTTTTAGTTCCATTTGAATAATAGGAAAATAAGAGATATAGACAGATACTAATATCTGTTGCTTTAACTGATTATATTTAAATTAAGCGGAATATGTTAATTAAGAGCGATTCAATGGTCATTGAATATAATAGTTATTATGTCTAGAATTGTTTTTCCTTTTTTTATAAATTATCATGATCATCGATTGATTATTTAAATATCGAATTGTATTATAAACAGTTGTTAGTAGTGAAAAATTAAATGATTATCAGATACTTACTCTTCGTTCTCCACATTGGCTTGACAACTTTGACTTCCACCATGAAGATAACAGCAGCTATGATAATGGCTGCCAAGGTGGCTCGTGGAATGTAACTGAAGTATGGGGTTAAGAAGAGAAGAGCTAGTATCACTAATAAGCCTGAAATGCAAGAGAATAGAAACATAGAATTATTAACAACCCACTGTTGTATAACTAGTCCCTAGTAGCATATAATGTCATTATTAGGTAGAGATGTTTTTTATAATCATTGTTAAACTAAAAGTTACTTAATATGATTCGTTTAATAATCCTCATGGATAATAAATGATCATTGTAGCAGGAATTTGTTTACTAATTCGTACGCAAAAATGATTAAAAACAAGTACCATGTGCTATTTATCATCTAAATATTAATTTAACGACCGTTCTAGAAGGATATTCATTTCAGTCATTATTAAGCGAATATATATTATTATATAATATATTTGATTATTGTTAAACTAATAGTTACTTAACAGGATTCATTTAATAATCACCATAGTTAATTAATAATCATCATGACAGGAATCCGTTTAATATTTGTTAGCGAAAATTAACAATCATAGTGAAATATTCGTTTATCATGTGTAATCGATTTAATAATTCTTTTTATAATAATTACCGGTATAGAGCCCTCCCATGGGGGTCCTTACGCCGGATGCATTGTTGACTGCACTTCTGCTTAACGATCCTGTCCCAGGAAACGCTTGGACGAATGAATTCCCGATATTAGCCATTCCAATAGCTATTAGTTCCTGAGTTGCATCCACGGATTTCCCGTTGGCTGGAATTAATCAAAGGATACAGTTAAAATTTCTCTTCGAGGAAAAAGAGGCTTTTTTTACCGATTTCTTTTCATTTTTACTATTTTCCCTTTTTCTTAATTCTGAGACATAGCAAAGTATATACAATGTTTATTTAATAAAGCTTCAATAGTTCGCATCTTCGATTTCATTAATTGGCTGGAATTAACCAAAGGATACAGTTAAAATTTCTCTTCGAGGAAACAGAGGCTTTTTTTACCGATTTCTTTTCATTTTTACTATTTTCCCTTTTTCTTAATTCTGAGACATAGCAAAGTATATACAATGTTTATTTAATAAAGCTTCAATAGTTCGCATCTTCGATTTCATTAATTGGCTGGAATTAACCAAATAATACACTTAAAATTTCTCTTCGAGGAAAAAGAGGTTTACCGATTTCTTTCCATTTTTACTAATTTCTCTTTTTCTAAATTCAGAGACCAAGACTGCCAAGAACTCAATCTTGGTCTGCGATTATAGTCAGAACTTGATTTTGATATTAATCGTGTACTTTTAGCAAGACTAACACCGACACTTTTCACCATTAAATTGGCAAAAGCTGGACATATGATTGTTAATCCCTCCGATACAGAGTTGCATTTATTAATTCATAATGTGGTCTCCTTTTCTTTACAATAAGTCGTTCCTCTTTTATCATTATGGAGGTTACTTACCAAATGCTTTGCATATGGCCACGTCTTCCATCAGGGATATTAGTGGTAAAACTAAAATACCACTGCCCAGATTTGAGGCCATCTCCACGAAGGAAACTGTCGAATTGTCTTCTCTTGTGTAAGAGAATGGAGGGAATTGAAACGTAGGCATTCCTCCAGGAATGTGACCTAAAAGAAAAGGAAAAGACATTAATGTTTAAGGTTATAATGAAAGGTCGTATATTCGTACTCTAAAATGATACTTCTATATACTATTGGCTTGAAATTGCATGTATAAATCTCTTTAACCCATTTACAGCATTAGCGTATATATACGCTCACAAGGAAGGTCGATCTCTCCGATTTGATTTCTTTTATAATATGTTATAGTAGACTAAAAACTAAGCGATACGTATTTTTTTTTCATCTGCCATTAAACACTTTAAGGGGGTGAAACTACCATCCAAAGTAAGGGATGTCAAGGAGCGATTTGGTAGTTTCACCCACGAGAACATTATATCTTTTAACCAATCCACCTGAAAAAGCTTCCTCATAACGAGAAATGAAAAATATAATTTTCTCAATCAAAACAAAAAAAATTAAGAGGTGAGCCACCCCTCACAGGCCTTACTTTGGATGGTGGTGATTCGCCCCCTTAAAGTGTTTAATGGCAGATAAAAAAAAATACGTATCGCTTAGTTTTTAGTCTACTATAACATATTATAAAAGAAATCAAATCGGAGAAATCGACCAGGAATACCGCCCTTGTCAGTTTTTCTTGTCACTATCACCGGAGCGTATATATACGCTCAATTTTACTGATCTCTATCATTCAGCCTGAAATTTGGTGATAAGGACCCTCCTTTTCATACTTCTTTATGATGCAAATCATAAGGAAGTATGAAAAGGAAGTATCAAACGGGTTAGGAAGGCCCTTGACGTACAATAGCGGACATGAATCCTCCCCTGCAGATACGGCATCGTCTGTGCAGGTTGGGAGGGCATTGATGTCTCCCAGTGTACGCAGTACAAAGTAGTAGGAAGTAAGCGTAAGGACAGTACCCAGTATTTTTGTATTATATGCTTACTTTTTGTTATTTCTTTTACTATCTTATTTGAATTCCATTTGTGGGTAAAATTGGTCGGAAAAAGACTCACCGATTAACTTGAATGGCGAGTTTCCGGGAAAGCTGTATCCTAAAATGCCGCAAACAATGACTAAAAGAGCATTTCTGGAAGTCCCCGTGAGCCACAAAATTTTATTGACCACTTTGTGTTTGGTCGATCGAAGTTCCTCTTCTTCAGGGCCAATGCGCATCGACGCTAACATCTGCAAATATAAAGAACAAAACAGTGAAATCATCAGGAACGTGGGCTGAGTTTTGCGCCAAGTACGTTCAAAGATACAGTTTAACACTAGAACGACCGGCAGATGTTTTTGTATAGATATAATGAGCCATTTGAAACAAGTCATTTCGATCCGTCTTGGTAGTTCTAGGGCTAAGATGATATGAAAGGCGCTGAAAAATGTAATCGAGGTTCGATAAATTAAAATTCAGCTATCCCTTTTTAGTGGCAACGTCATTTTGTATCTTTCTTTTGTATCAATTGTGCCTTTCATATCATCTTAAGGATAAAAAATGTACTAGGCCATTAATTCGTTGATTTACCCGCAATATCAGGAGAAGTCCAATACAGGAGGCACCCAATGCAGCATCCCAGGCAGAAGTCTCGTGAACACTTTGGGCCATGGATTTCCACATTTGTACAAAAGTGGCCCCTTTCGCAGTGATTCCCAAAACGTCTTTTATCTGGGAAGTGACTATTATCAGCGCCACAGCCGATGTGAAACCCGAGCTCACCGGCCCCGATACGAAGTCGATCAGAAAACCTGAAAATCGAAAGTTGAAAAATGAAATTTCATGGGCACCCCGTTCTTCCTTACGGTTTCTATAATTATATTCTGAAGTTTTCATCGATCACCTTAAGGTGATATGAAAGGGTCAGTCTATATATATAAAACGTCATAATATTAATAAACTTTTCCCCAAATTGAGTGCATCGAATCATGTAAAACTTCGTCATTATGAAAGCTCTAAGGAAGAACGCGATGCTCATGAGATGTCATTTTTAAAAAATAAATAAATATTGATTCTAGTCTGGGGTAAATAAAACAATTTTTTTATCGAAAATTAAATTTCTAAGAGCTTTTACTAAGAGCGCCTAAAGGCGCCCGACGTTTGGTCCAATGTTGCCTGCACGGTCAGACGAATTTCGCCCATATGTCGAAATGGCACCGTGTTCAAAGAGTTAAATGACGAAACCTATGTTTTATGTTAAAATTGGAGACCTCTTCAGAAGACAACTCAATGTCAGTGAGAAAGATTCTCCGGAAGCAGGGAAATATTTTTCTAAGACTTCCACTCATCTTCGAGTGCGTTAAAAATGATAAAAAAGTGTTACGACCAATTTTTTGGCGTGCATGAAGCGTTTAGTCTCGACAGTTTTTACCGGAAAATCCGTAAAAGCGACTTCCTAGTTCTTCATTTGAGTCTCTTACGTGACGAGACTATGTAACTTAACTATGTGAGCGATAAATCACCGGAAAGGTATTACTGTAACAAAAGTCCCGCCGGAAAAGGAATAACTTGTGAATTTCAATTTAATTTATGAGCAACCTTCGAGACATTCAGTCGTACAGATATTATCGAGTACAAAGAAACATTACGCGACAAATTTATGGCCGCAATTTATCATCTGTAAATTTACATCCTTTAATGCTCAGATAAATAAATGTAAAATCAAGTAATTCGGAGATTACAGAGAATAAAGTAAGAAGTATCCCTAGTAGCACAAAATATTTGTCCTATATTTTCTACATATTTAACGAATATCGTACGTTTTGTAAATATTTACCAGACATTTGAAATATTTCCAAAACTTTTACTTTAGAATATTATCCCTGTAATATTTATATAATATTTTTCTACCAGATATACAAAACATTTCGTTTCATTTTAATACAAGTATTTTTAAATATTATCTTCCGAATACATTATAAACGTTTTAAAAATATTTAAAATCAAAATCACACGTTTTGCTCCCATAATGAAATAGCGGGACGAAAATATTAGAAAAATTTCTCGTGTTTTTTGATACCAAACGAAGTGTCCGATAATAGTCGTGAAGTAAAAAATGTATTTTTATTATGTTAAGTTAAAAAATATTTCTCTATATGTTTATAAATTATTGAAACTAACTATATCATTGAGATTTTCAAGAAATATTTCAAATATCTTCGAGTGATGTCTACAAGAAATCTTATGTCGCTTGAGATATTTAGCAAAGATTACAAAGAAATATTTATAAATTATTCTATGCTACTAGGGTTGGTGATGGTTATCAAGCAAGTGTATCAGGAAGCGTGTAAAATAGGTTTGCAACAATCGCATTTACCCCGGCAAACGTGATAAGATGTGGATAAAAAAGCCTTTAAAACCGTGAAGGTTTCTCGGTTTACCTCGCAATCAGAGGTACCAGGAGATACCATCCTGTTGTGCAAGAAAAAAGACAAAAAACCAAATATCGAGCCCCTTCTAGAAGAATGGCGTCATTGAAATGACCACTTGGTGATGATTATCAAGCAAGTGTATCAGGAAGCGTGTTAAATAGGTTTGCAACAATGGTATTTACCCGGGCAAACGTGATAAGGTGTGGATAAAAAAGTCAAGTCGAAAAAAGAGTACAAGCTTCCTCCTACACGGAGAAAAATAAGAACCTTAAGGTGATATGAAAGTGTGATATATACATAAGAAAAAGTGAAAATATTTATAAAACTCTTCTCCAAACTGGGTCCACCGAATTATCTGAAACTTTAACACGTGATTATGGAGGCTCTAAGGAAGTACGCGATGCCCGTGAAAATTAATTTTTGGAAAAAAAGAAAATCATTTTTTAGTTCTTCTCCGAGATAAATACATTTTTTTCGAAAAAGGAAATTTCATGAGCAGCGCGTTATTCCTTAGGGCCTCCATAATCACGTGTTAAAGTTTTAGATAATTTGGTGCACCCAGTTTGGATAAAAGTTTTATAAATATTTTCATTTTTTGGTATATATATTCCACTTTCATATCACTTTAATCCTTCGAAATTAGTATGTTCTTCCTTAGAGCCTCCACAATCACGTGTTAAAGTTTTAGATAATTTGGTGCACCCAGTTTGGATAAAAGTATTATAAATATTTTCATTTTTTGGTATGTACACATATTCCACTTTCATATCACCTTAATCCTTCGAAATTAGTATGTCTTTTTTCTCTTGGTTTCCTCAGAATGCATCCTCAAAAATGTGCAACTAATTCCCAAGAAATTAAGGTGAAGTGAAACCCCCTTTAAATCAGTCGATTCGAATTCAATACTTTTTTTAAGGGTATTAGACCAAACTGTCCGAAACGTTGACACATCACTCCTGATCATCTAAGAATTGTCCTGACACATTCAAAATTTCGATTTTTAAAAAAATTTTTTAACTCAGCCCAGATCAGAACAAAAATGGCGTCGAGCTCTCATATTTCGATCAGTATACAATTATCGAAGGCTCTGATATAAGAATCGAAAGGGTCAGGACAATTTTACGACAACTTAGAACACTCTGGTAATCGATAAACTCGCATTTGCACAGGATAAAGGCAAGAAAAAGTGTCGTATGCGCTTCTATGCCAAAACGATGATAATACGAGGTCTCGGAGTGAAAATTTAATTGACCTGGAAATCACAGATGGCGCAGGGGGTCCCTCTGCAATCAATTAGGGCCCCAGAAAGCATGAATCCAGAGGATTTCTGGAGTTTTACTTCGATTTCTTTATAATTATAGTTCGAAAACGACAGATGGAGTATGCCATTTAGTACAACACTCGATATAAGTCGACACAGCTGTCGATATGAAAACGAACGTCGTCAACGTAGGTATTTAGAAAGATCTTCTTTATCGACGTCAATCAAGTTCCTCGATGTGTTTCACTTCACCTTAAGTTAGTTTTTAAGTGAAATTCTACTTACCAAGCCCAAATATACCCATGAAGAGTTCCACCAGACCGCAGAGGAAGCAAAGAAGAATCGCATGCTGCGCTTTCGCTTCGAGATGAGCCACGGTTTGATAAGTTAATAAAGAAACTATTGCGGTGGGTCCCAGAGGTATGTCCTTGCAGGATCCGAAGACGATGTAAATGAAGCAGCCCAAAAAACTGCCGTATAAACCGTACTGAAACGAAGTAATCGTGCAATTTTTAATTATTAACTATTAAACCACATTAGATTATTTAATTTTAATTAATTATTATAAAATTACGTCACACTGGTGAGGGTATAACGCGAGAAGATATTGGTACCGATTCACATTTAAGATATTAAACTCATAATTTTAGTACAACCGTATATACGATAAGTGTGAATATTATTTAAAGATATTTCATTTAAATGTGCGCATTTTTTGACAGTGTAACTAAATTTTTATAAGACAGTGAACGCTGAATATAAACCATCAACTTAACGTTTTCGAACAGTTTAGATTTTTATACAGGTTATCCATACTTATATGATATATGTACTGAAAATATAGACGTGATAAAGATTTAAATATTATATTCGTTTTAAATAGTATATTCACGGGATATTTTTATTATGCATACCATAGACAATGTAAGTTCTCCATACTTATGTCCTAATTTGTCCGTGCACTATAAGTATATTATACTTTATACGGTGCCTTGTAATATATTATAATTTACACAGTGGGAAAAAAACACGATGTATGGTCACCAGCCAAAGAGGAAGTAAATAAAAAACTCAGAGTATGGACATAATTAACGGTTTTATCAAGTTGGAATTTAGATATAAACATTAAGTATGTGTGAAAAATGTTAGGTTAGACGAGGTGTCTTTTAATTTTCCTAAGCGTATTTTCAACGATGTTGTTTAACCTTTGGTAGATGTCTACTAGAGCTATTATATATTTTGTATACGTCTAGAAATAAGTAGATATTCGTAGATCAACAGTGGATATATCATTTTCATCTACAATAGACATAGATATTTATACATATCCTTTAGATATTTTTTTAGGTGAATAATACACGATATACATTTACTATACCTGTAGACCTAATTTTGACAATTAATTTACGTATATTCCACTTCATGGGTGCCTGGGAGACTAACACTGGCTCGCTAGAGTAGGTATAGAGACCGCTACGTCCCCGCGTTGCTATGACGACGCACGTCGCCCGCATATACTATATATACACACACACGTACGGGATAGATGACGTCACAGGCTTGGTATGCGGGAAAACGGGAGGGGATACCTTCCAATGCGTAACGGTTTTTCGTTACATCTAATTTTTTCCAGCATTTTACTTCTCATATGGTCCAGGCTCGGCGCCGTATAAGAAGTTTTACTTCAAAATCGTCTATACCAACCTCTGGCGACAGACCGGCTACGTTGGAATAGGCTAACGATTGGGGGATGACGGTGAGGCCGACCGTAATCCCCGCGACCAGGTCTCCGAGGGCGTCTTGGCCGTTGTACCTCGGCAGCCATCTTAGGATGGGTAGCCTCTTGTAGAGCGTCTTTTTCGTACAGACCGCTAGAGTGCGCCGCCTCGCGTATCGCAGAACCGCGTTACAGGCACCTTCTTTCGGCTTGGTCTCCTCGTCACTTGGTTCTTCCACCACTAAACAACAAGGTATACAAATACGTTAGTAACGTGAACATTGTCGGAAATCATATATAGAAATCCACCGTTTGTTATGCCAGTCTCTTGTTCGATTCGCTGATAGGTTTTTATTGGAAATGTGTCAAACAGTTGCGTGAACAGAATTTAATCGGGTAAACAATCAGAATGTTGTTCTTGATTTCAACAATGTATTGTACTAGTGCAAGTCTGGATATTCATACTAATTAAAGTGAAGTGAAACACCCTTCAAATCAGTAGATTCGAATAAGACACTCTTTCCTAACCCTTTGGCCCTCGTCTACTATGAGCGCTTAATGGCGTTCGACGTTTGGTCCAATATTGCCTGCACGGTCAGACGAGTTTCGTCCATATGTTGAAATGACTCCATGTTCAAAGGGTTAAGGATATTGGATAGAACCGTCCGAAACTTTGATATATGATCCGTGAGCACGTAGGAATTATTTTGACACTTTGAAAATTTGCATTTTTGGAAAAAAAATTGTTTAACTTTGCCCAGATCAGATCCAAAATGGCGTCGAGCTCTCGTATTTCGATCGATATATAATTATTGAAGGCTCTGATATGAGAAACGAAAGTGTAAGGACAATTTAAAAGCTAGTTAAAAAATACTTAATTTAACTATATTTTCCTCTTAGTTTATAAAGGAAAAGGTATATTAATACAAGTTTTTACTTTATGATGTGATGATAACGATTCAAGTTCTTACTTAGAGATACAATTATGAAAGTTTTTTATTAAAGTTCAATGCGTATCATGCACTTCCGATTATGATCCTTTATCTTCTTTGCAATGTGTTTCACTTCTGCTTAATTTATCAATCTGTGGCATCAGAAGCCTATCTATTACGCGCGTATTTCAATTCAGCGAATTATGCCGTTCACATAAATCTTAATACGCAAATCGGTTTTTCATCCAGAAATCGCGTTTCAAAATCTACATCCGGCTGCATCAGAGTTTGTTATCTATTTCGCATTTTTTACGCGTTTTTTTCAACGCCAAGGATTACTAAATTTAGAAGGAATCGCAACTCCGTTTGTTCATTGAACAATCGTTGATCGTTAATCATTGATATATATGCAAATCTCGTTTTTTCTCATCTAACAACTTATGCAAAAAATGAATTTAGGCTTTGAACCAGATTGTAAACAAATGTCCTGTATTGTTAATTAAATATGTAAATTTTTCTAAATTTTTTTATATTTTTCGAATAGTGTACAGAATTGTTTGAATCTCATTAATATGTGAATAATCAATTAAGATGGACTATAAATGTCTTTAATCCACTAAAGCATGCTAAATAAACGATATTTTCTATTCCTGATTACTATCTTGAGATACCAAGATGACGAAACAGTCGCGTGTCGATGACTAATTAATTAATTCACCACAGGCCGTTAATGATTTTCTGATAAATGTGTTCTTCCTTGATTGAAATATGAATGTTTAAATCAAGGAAGCCATTTATCAATTAAAAACTGATTTTAACCTACCAAAATGTGTTAAATAAACGATTTTTCCAATTCCTGGTTATCTTTTCGAGAAACCAAGATGGCGAAACAGCCGCGCATCAATGGCTGCAATTTTTACATAATTGTTTCATCACTGGTAGCGGACATTCAGATAAATAAATGACATTTGTATATGAATATTTCAATTAAAGGACCCATTTATCGATGTTCATATCTTTAGTCCACCAAAACATGCTAAATAAAGGCTTTTTCATGTCCCTAGTTGCCATCTCGATAAATCAAGATGGCGGAACAATCACGCGTTGATGGCTATAGTTCTCGCTTAATTAATTCACCGCGGATTGTTGCCAACATTCAGATAAATAAATGCCATTCATATATGAATATTTCACATAAAGGGTCCATTTATTGAAGGTAATGACTTTAATCCACCAAAACATGCTAAATAAACACTATTTCATGTTCCTAGTTGCCATCTCGATAAATCAAGATGGCGGAACAATCACAAATGGATGACTATAATTCTCACGTAATTAATTCACCGCGAGTTGTAGCCGACATTCTGATAAACGTCGGATGTCCACAACTCGTGACGGTAAATGCAAAATGCATCGATGAAAACTGCAATTAATAAACATCGTTGGGGAGAAAAAGGGTCATTCGGTAAGCATCTTCACGATACGTCGACAGATTAATTTCTTCCACCGGTTAATTGTAACCTTGGTCTCTCTTCGTCTCATGTGACTCCGATTAGTTGCATATGTAGGATCTTTGTTGTTAACATTCCGTCTCTGAGAAGGTGAACCAGTTCCGCCGCGTTTATGATGCAAATTAGACCAGGGAGTTTACAACTGCAATTATGATACGCACGTAGAGGAATCGGCTAGAACCGCGATAAAATTAAATAACCTAACATAACCTCAAAAGTAACCCGAGAAGGTGGCGAAAGAAGATTTACTTACGAGGGAAATGAAAATTATATGACAGCTTGTGACATCGCGTCCTCAGAATTTCACGAACTTAAATCGTTTCGAGAATCTTCCCTAATTGTACTAAATATTTGTTTTTTACTTTCAATATATTTAAGGAATATCGTTCATTTTATTGATTTTTAGCAGACATTTGAAAGATTTGCAAATCATTTAGTTGAGAATATNAGAAAAATATATAGATAATTATTCTGTGCTACTAAAATTCAACGGAAGATGCACTATAAATATAAATTGTTTGCAACTCGAAGGGGCGAGAACTAGATTTATGTTAATGATAATAAATTATGCGGAGACTCCTATTATTGAAATTACATGCGGTCGGGATTACAGGGAGTCGGATAGCACTAGTATTATACTTAAATAATCTAACATAACCTCAAAAGTGAACCCAAAGATCATAAAAGAAGATTGGCGGTGTTTCGAGAGAAATCGGAACAGGTTGAATAGTTATGTCACAGTGTTCTTGAGATGTTAAGTCTTCTCGACTTATTATTCAAATATTTAAAGGAAAAAGTGCAGAAACAGTTGTTTTACGAGCATACTCTCTAGCACCACGTCCATTCGCTCGTTCATTTTAATTATTTAATGCCTCTACGCGAAATGGGCCAAGATCAGGAGGGAGGCATTATTTCATTCCTGCCACGTAAAATTCTCGTTTCCGCTTTCGAAATCGTAAAGATAATCCGGTAGGTCGTCTTTGCATTTACTCGCGTGTGTTTTACGTAGGTGTACTTACTTCTTCGGGATCCCGGTAGCATGTAACAAAAACGAAGCCTCGATTTATCCCCGGTAAAAAGGCTTGAATAGAATAGGATTCAACGTCTCACGATTTCAACGTAAAAGTGATGATTTTTCTATTCTATTGAATACCTGATTTTTGTCTCCGAGTACGATTCCCGCAACAGTAATACATTTTCTATGAATCAATTATATTCTATTCCCCTTGCGTACCCTGATTTTTGTTTAATTCCGAAATGAGGAATATACTTCTGCTTTGTTTAATTCCTTCTAGTCCGGGAAAAAATACCCGACATTACATTGTTTTATATTCCGTTCAGAGGAATATATTATAGGAATGCCTGATTCCTTCCATCACGCAGAAAAATAATATTGTAATCATTCTTTGTAATAACGTGTACTACAATGAAATTGCACATTTGACAGTTTTAGGAGAGTAATCATTACTTTGTAGAACTGCTGTCCTTATATTTCCCAGCGATTGCTGTTATATCTATCCCAATTGTAGTAATTATAACAACTTTTTTCTCTCCGTGTAGTGATTAATATTAAAAATGGTAATATTATCTATATGAAGAGGTTATAATAACTATAATAAGGTAGAAGGTTTATCTGGTAGCTGTAACCACAATTATAGTAAGATTTTACATATTACAAGGTTACTCTAAATTTGCGTATGTAATTGCGGAAACAATGGTTCGGCACCATTAGTTTCTACAGAACCACCAGATGGCCAGACTTCTCGCAGGCGATGCAGACAGCAAAAGAAAAATATATGGTACGCGTATAAAGGAACAAAATTTATTTAGCATGCAGCGTCATAATTGAAGAAGGAACATTTCAAATCGAAATTAAATGAATAAATTGGTAAGAGCGCCATCTGTCGGCGCGGCGGTCAATTACTGAATATTTGACATTATACTCATATAATTAGCACTCAAGAGGCGGTAAAATAATCGAGGAATAATAACCGATGACCGCGGAATGAAAATGAGTAATCGGCGAGTACGCGTCGCGGGTATGCACGATGATTTCACTCGACAAGTGATAATAATCAAGGTTGCGTCGTACTTTGGCCACTGCGGCTCCCAAATGCAGAGACGGATTTCATTGTCACTTTCGACAGACTTGTGCGGAATTGTTTTACCGACCAAATGAAGAAAAACCACGTACTTGACATTATTAGAGAGGGAAATGAAATCCATTAGCAGATCATTGTCTTAGAAAGCGAAACTGACCTAGACAACGCGGCAAGAAGAACTCAATGCAGAAGTTGAACACATTTACTTATTAATGTAATTTCAATATCAGTTTTATAAATGAAAAATGGTTTTTGGGATTTTTGAGTTTAGGTACAATAGTAAACACGTAACAGTAAATATATATTAATGGTAAACCGTCAATAAATTTATCAATTTTTGGGACATCTTTATAATTTGCTCGTCGAAAATCAAGTATTTTAATTTAACCGAGAAAAATGATAGACGATTAAATGGAAATTTAATTGTGGTAAAGGCAAAAATCCTTCTCTCTTCGCAAAATGTTTCCTTGGTACTAAGAAATATTTCTTGGTTGAAAGTAATATTTCTTGGTGCAAAGAAATATTTCCTTGGTGCAAAGAAATATTTCCTTGGCTCAAAGAAATATTTCTTGGTGCAAAGAAATATTTTCTTGACGCAAAGAAATATTTCTTGGCGCAAAGAAATATTTTTTGGTGCCAAGAAATATTTCTTTAGTTCAATGAACTTGTTTTCTCAGTGAAGTAATATGCGATAGCACTTTGGAAGCTGTACTTACAGATGAAATCCGAGGAGCCCTGTATTTCGCGATGTGGCCCATGTGAATTGTTAAGTAGCTGAGTGCCATTTGTGTTGGGGATGTTTAAACTAACCCCTGACCCTGTCAGGGCGTGGTTCACGTATCCATCCTTCAGCATGTCGTCCCTAACGATGTCTCCTCCCTTCATTCTGAAATTCAAAAATGTATCATATGATGAGGAAAATCGATTTACAAATAATTTGCAGACCATTTGCTGTCCATGAAATGTCTGCAATGTATCTACGCATATTGCAGAATAAATTTGAAGACAAATTTCCAGTAAATTTGTCATAAATGGTTGCAGCAATATATTTACCGCATACTTGAGTCATATGCCAGTTATACCATAACCGACACTTATACACTGAAAATGTATGAAAAATTTAACTGGAGCTGCAATATCATCTCATGACATAAATTTACGAATATTGTATGAAGATAGTTAATACTACAAATGTGAGCTAAATATGACGTTGTTTCATGTTTCCGTTTCCATGACTCAAATATGAGCTAGGAACGCTGCAATTGTTTATCGGCAATGTGTGAGATAAATTCCGTTATACGTATACGTACAAACAATGAGAAATTGCATGTACTTAACTTTGTTTCATATTTAAGTATTTTTCGTTCATATGCCAGTTATGCCATAACCGACACTATGAACTAAAAATGTATGGATAATTTAACTGGAGCTGCAATATCATCTCATGATATAAATTTACGGATATTGTATGAAGATAGTTAATACTACAAATGTGAGCTAAATATGACGTTTCATGTTCTCGTTTCCATCACGCCATGACTCAAATATGAGCTACGGATGCTGCAATTGTTTATCGGCAAAGCGTGAGATAAATTTGGCGGCATATATGCGTACAAACATTGAAATATTGTATGCATTTAACATTGTTTCATATTTCGTTTTTTTTTATTCATATGCCAGTTATGCTATAACCGCCACTTATGAACTGAAAATTTATGGAAAATTTAACTGGAGCTGCAATATCATCTCATGATATAAATTTACGGATATTGTATGAAGATAATTAATACTACAAATGTGAGATAAATATGACGTTTCGTGTTCTCGTTTCCATCACGCCATGACTCAAATATGAGCTATGGATACTGCAATTGTTTATCGGCAAAGCGTGAGATAAATTGCGTACAAACATTGAAATATTGCATGCATTTAACTTTGTTTCATATTTAAGTATTTTTGGTTCATATGCCAGTTATGCCATAATTATACCAAAATATACGATACTCGTTAAATATGATGAAAATGTTAGACAAATATTTTGTGCTACTAGGATTCCTATTAGGAGGGACGCGAAGTAAGCAGTATAATAGATCGTAAATGCACTTATTTTGCATAATGTTAGGTTAGGTTCGGAAGGAAGCACGTTGCATCGCACTATAAAAAGTTACGTCACTTTAATGCACCTTACTATCTTTTAGGTTAATTTTTAGCGCATAAATACATTACAAATTTTTAAGGCAAGACTTGCCTGGAATGGTGCGAAACTAGCAGCATAATTGGACTATAAGTACTGCTAGTATGCCCGAACAATTTGAGATTACAAAAAATACATATTGCACCACATTATTAATGAACATACCGATTACTTTTAAGGCCAATTTGCCCTCTTGTATTCGATTTAAATTTTAATTTGGATTTCGTAACTAGGATGGTGTGGTCATCATTGTAATTGCGAAACAGAATTTCTGATGCGAACCAGTTTAAAAATGCTCAGAAAAGGATTGTATCGTTATCGACATTGCAGTTTCCTGCTATTGTTCGAAATTATTGTACGGAAACCACATATAAAGTATGCCATTTAGTACAATATCCAATATAATTCGATACTGCTGTCATTATAAATACAAACATCAGTAACGTAGATATTTAAAAGAATCTTTTTTATCGACGTCCATCAAATTTTCCAATTTAAATTTAAATCCGGATTTCGTAACTAGAATGATGTGAAGTCATCATTGCAATTGCGAAAGAAAATCTGACGCGAACCAGTTTAAAAATGCTCGGAAAAGGGTTGTATCGTTATCGACATTACAGTTTCCTGCTATTGTTCGAAATTAATATACGGAAAATTATTGTACGGAAACCACATATGAAGTATGCCATTTAGTACAATATTCAATATAATTCGACACTGCTGTCACTATAAATACAAAAGTCGGTAAGTTCGAAATTAATCTCGATATTTCGTAACTAATGAAAAATACCGGAAATCCGTTCCGAGTGTTACATTCCGCTCTCAAAATCGCGCATCTTTTATTTCAACCGCTTTTCCATATCGCTAATATTTTCCGAGATATCGGGGCGCAACAGTTTTCGTGCGTCAATCTGTATACCGAGTCGCGCGCGCGCATGCGCGCTAGCGCTCAGGTAGCGCAGGCGTCATCGCGCCGACGCGTTCGTAAACCGCACGTGATTCCTATATCAGTATTTGCATCTCCCTTTACGAGATACCAGTCGAAGTCGTATCCAATATAAATATTGTTTTGTCGCCTCGAGACTCGTACTAATGTCCACACGCCCGCTGACTCGTTAGTGAGTCCCCGGTCTCGGTGATTTATGCGAGTAACTCGCGTTAAGAGCCGCCTTGCTCGCCGGCAGACATTCAGTCTGCGGCCCAGTGGTTCTCAATTTTAGTCGATTCCCTAGTAGCCCAGAATAATTTCTAAATATTTCTTTGTAATCTTTGCTAAATATCTCAAGCGACAGATTTGTTTAAGATTTCTTCTAGATTTCATTCGAAGACATCTGAAGTATTTCTTGAAAATCTCAATCACATATTTAGCTTCAATAATTTATAAACATATATAGAAATGATATTTTTTAATTTATGAACGTATAATAAGAATACATTTCTTTTACATCACGACTATTACCGGACACTTCATTTGGTATGAAAAAACGGAAGAAATTTTTATATTTTCGTTCCGGTATTTCATTATGGGAGCGGAACGTGTGATTTTGATTTTAAATACTTTTAAAACGTTTATAATGTATTCGGCAGATAATATTTAAAAAATACTTGGATTAAAATGATACGAAATGTTTTGTATATCTGGTAGAAAAATATTATGAAAATACATGGAGGTAATATTATATAAACATATTATAGGGATAATATTCTAACGGAAACGTTTTGCAAATATAAATATTTACAAAATGTACGATATTCGTTAAATATATAGAAAATATAGGACAAATATTTTGTGCTACTAGGGTTATCTCGACTCTGTAGCATGAATTTTAATGAACTGAATTATGATGACCCTAACTGTCTTGTTACCCGAATTCGAATGATCACGTTTGCATTCGAGCAGACATCAATTTTCACTAAAGTTTGTCAAAAGTTAATTTTAGCAACATTTTCTCCGGGCAATTCATTTTGGCAAATTTTTCTCATGATAACTACTTTTGACAAAATTTTCTCTTAACATTTAATTTTGTCAAATTTTTCTCTTAACATTTAATTTCGGTAAAATTTTCTCATGACATTTACTTTTAGCAAAATTTCCACGTTTAAATTAATTTTGCTTTAAATTTATAATGCCGATCAACATGTTAATGAATTTGTTACTTCAGATGATTACGTTCGCACTTGAGCAGATATCAATTTTAGCAAAAATTTATCAAATATTAATTTTAGCAACATTTCTTTCATGCCCATTCATTTTGGCAAATTTTTCTCATGACAATTAATTTTAGCAAAATTTTAGCATGAAAATTAACTCTTATCACTCTGAGAATATTAGAAGATTATTAAATGTTGGCAGTCGGTTGGAGTGATAAGGGTTAATTTTGGCAATGTTTAAGCATAAAAATTAAATTCGGCAAGATCTAACGATAATTAGTCGTGGTAAAATTTTGTCACGAAAATTCATTTTGGCAATATTTTCTCATGGAAATTTATTTTGGCAACATTTTCTTATGAAAACTAATAACTCGATATATGTTTCATTTGCTAATATTATATTTTTTAGGTAATATCTAAAATAGAGATGTAAAATACTATTATTATTATGTGATATATTATCATATACTATTATTATTACATCATATATATATATAATAGAAAAATACTATTATTATATTTTTTAGGTAATATCTAAAATTGGGATGTAAAATACGCTTATAAAGAGCCTATTAATTCTATTTACGCAAATTATGAAGACGACTACCTCAACAACACCTGCAGATGATTAACATTAATTACCACGTACACCTTAACTCCACCGTACGTGAATTTCCGCTTTTTGTTTAATTTCCCCAAAGTAGAAATTTCCTAAAATAATATCTTCGGAGCGGAAGGTTTGGCTTTGCGAAAACCATGCAAAATTTATCATACATTGTATTAAAATACCCAACAGGCATATTAATTAATTATTAACAATCCAGGAAGAAACATTAAATTCAGAAACACATAACCGTTACTTAAAACAATATGGAAATTAATTCATTGTACCGGATTTGAAATCCAAAAGCGATCTTTTTCTTTGATAGATATTCAGCCGCAACGGCAGTGGTTCTCAGTCAACATTGACATTGAAAATAATTTCAAGATATGAATTTCACTAATAATATAATACAATGCATAATAACACGCATACAATGGAATATAAACATAAAAATAATACGTAGACATTTAAGTGAAGAAAGTAAAAAAAATTATATTAACCGAGTGCTTAATGTTTAATAATTCACTACATTTATTTATTAATAAAAGCCAGTTTTACTATCGATGTTTGGTGTCGAAATAAATTTTAGAGTAATGTTTATTGCGGTTTTTTCAGTACTCGACGATGTTTCTCGTTTAAAAATGTATTTGGCTCGAAACTCTACCGAGTTTCTTGATGTAGATACCTGTAAACATTAAAGTGTTTAAATATTGGAGATTTAGTTAATCAGTCTATTTTGTAATTACTGAAAAATTGATTTTTTTCAGATACGAGTACTCTGTACATGTAATAGTTTTATATCGTGTACTCGATCAAATGTTTCAATCGAGGTTAATAAGATGCAACGATGGAATGAAATACAAGCAGACTTAATTACTCTTTAGCGTGAACAAGAAAATGTGAAAATGAATGGTATATTATTGACTTAAAGTGAAAG